CGAACCCGGGTCTCTCTGGACCACAGGCCGACGCTCTAACCGCTGAGCAAAACTGGCCAGAGCTAAAGTTTTCTTTAAATGGACCATACTTTTCTGCTTATTTGTATGCTTTGCAAATTTTTTTATTGGAAACTGGACATTTGAATCTAATAATCTGAACTCTAGAAATGAGACTGTCACTCTTCCCCAGGACTTGATTTTTATTGTTTTTGCTTTTTAAAAAATTGAATTGTATTTCACATATAACATTGTGTAAATTTAAGGTTTAAAACATTTTGATTTGATACATTTGTCACAATATGACTGCCTGTGTAGCCTTAGCTAACACCTCTATCACATCACATAAGTATCATCTTTTTGTTTAAGATCTAGTCTCTTAACATGTTTGATGTTTACAATGTAGTACTGGTACCTATAATCACCAACCTGTGCCTTAAATTTCTATCTACTAGTTGCAAGTTTGTACCCTTTAAACATCTCTCCTAGTCCCTCACCCAAAATCTCTGGTAACCATTATTCTACTCTGTGTTTATAAGTTCGGCTTTTTTAGATTCCACATATAAATAAGCAGTATCATACAGTATATGCCTTTCCCTATCTGACTTATCTCACTTAGCATAATGTCCTCAGGGTCCCTCTATGTGGTCACAAATGGCAGCAATTACTACTTTCTCATGGCTGAATAATATTCCATGGTATGTACACACACTGACCCCACATCTTCTATTCCACTCACCTGTTGACAGGCACTTAGGTTGTTTCTGTCTTGGCTATTACACAATAAACATGGAGTGCATATACCTCTTTAATATCCTGGTTTCATTTCCTTTGGATATATATGCAAAAGTGGAATTGCTGGATCTTATGGTAATTCTAGTTTTAATTTTTTTGAGGAGCCTCCACGCTGCCTTCTACAGTGGCTGCACCAACTTACATTCTCACCAAGAGTGTACAAAGCTTCATGTTACTCCACATCCTCTCCAACACTTACCTTCTGTCTTCTTGATGATACTAGCCACTCTAACATTTCCCTGGCGATTCATGAGTTCTTCATATATTCTGGATACTGACCCCTCACTGACACGTGGTTTGCAAATATTCTCTCCCATCCCACAAGTTGCCGTTTCATTTTGTTAACTGTTTCTTTTGCTATAAAAGCATTTAAGGTGGGTGATGTCCCACAGGCTGGGTTTGTTTTGTTGTTGTTGTTCATTGTTGTGAGCGGTGTCTGTGCCAAGGATCAACCTGAGGTATAAATGTAAAATCTTCCAGGTCTTTTCTGAGCGTGGGCCTTTCTCTGGGAATGTGTGGTGATTTTCTAGTTTCCCCCATATATATGATTGCTTTTGAATGTCCTAGTCTTCAATCTGGTTCTCAAAGGAGGGAAAAAAATGCATGGGGGGGGGGGGGGCGTTCATTTATTTATTTAAATCCTCACTCAAGGATCAGTTTAGAGAGAGGAACAGGCAGTAGAGGGGGGAGAGAAACATCAATCGATTGTCTCCCATATGTGCCCCAACCTGGGATTGAATCCACAAGCTAGGCATGTGCCCAGGCCAGGACTGGAACCCACAACCTTTACGGTATATGGGACAATGCTCCAACCAACTTAGCTACCCGTCCAGGGAAGGGGGAGCTTTCCTTTATATCCCTTGGAAGTTATTTCAGGCACTGGGAATGGGCTTCAACAATGGGGGAGGTGCAAAGACACTGGCCTGTCTCACCGTCTGCACCCTGTCGTCAGCAGCAGCCAGAGTGCAGATGCCCAGCGTCTCATAGGCAGAGTCCTTTGTGCCCACCCAGCTCACGCCAGCTGCTGTGCACCAGCTGCTCCAGGAGTAAGTTCGCAGCTGCCTGCTTCAGGGCTGGGATGCGCGCTGGGTAGCTGCTACTGTGCTCAAAGCTAAAATTGATCCAAATTAACTGCAACTTACTGTCCAAGCCTTCCCCTGAAATTGCCAACCTTCAACAGAACCCAGAGCTTCAAAACAGTTACAGCGGATTCTGCCAGTGCAACTGTTGTCCAGGTGAGATGACAGATCTCTGGTATCCCTGCTCCACTATCTTCCCAGAACCCTCTGGTCAGTTCATTTCTGATAAACCTACCAAGTCAGTTATATAGGAAAAGAACAATCTATTTAATAAAGTGCTGGAACAACTGGATAGTCGTGTGCAGAAAAACCATCCTCAAATGTTACCTCAGATCTATACAAAATTAACTGGAAATGGATCACAATCTAAAAGTTAAAAATGTTAAATATAAAGACTTACAGTCAAGATGGCGGCGTAGGAAAATGCAGTACTTGCCTCCTCCCACAACCACATCAAAATGTCAACTAAACTACAAAACCACCACCATTCAGAAGCACCTGACATCGAACTGAGTGGAAGTCCTACAACTACATTAAAGTAAAAGTCACATGGAGACTGGTAGGAGAGACGGAGGCATGGATGGGCTGGTCCCTCACTCACATGTGGAGAATAAAAATCAGAAGGACACCTCAGCTGGGAAGGTCCTCCCTGAGGAGTGAGGGGTCCCCATCCCACACTAAGTGCCCAGCTCAGGATTCCAGTGCCAAGAGAATCCCCATCACGTCTGGCTGTAAAAACCACTGGGAATTGAGGCTGCTGGAGCCCCAGGCAGCTCCTCTTAAAGGGCCCGCCCTCAGACTTGCTACCTCAGAGCTCCAACATGGGAGAGGCAGCTTGAAAGGCACTGGAGACATACAGGGAAGAACTAAGCAGTTTGGCATCTGGGCGAGCTGAAGAGTCAGCTTTCTCCTAGACAGACGTGCTGGTAGAGGCCATTGTCCCTTTGGTGAGTGACTGGAACTGCAGTGGGAACAGAAAGGGGTGAGCAGTTTGGAGAGAGTTTGGCAGTTTCTTACAGAGTTAAACATAGTCCTGGCCGGTTTGGCTCAGAGGTTGGAGCATCAGCCTGCGGTCCAGAGAGACCCGGGTTCGGTTCCCGTTAAGGGCACATGTCTCGGTTGCAGTTTGTCCCCGGCCCTGATTGGTCGTGCAGGTGGCAGCCACTCGATGTGTCCCTTTCACATCGATGTTTCTCTCTCTCTCTCTCTCTCTCTCTCTCTCTCTCTCTCTCTCTTCCTCTCTCTCCTTCCCACTCTATCTGAACAAAAGATGGAAAAATGTCCTCGGGTGAGGATAAAAAATAAAGTTAAACATACACCAGTCATATGATCAGACTTTCCGCTCCTAGGTATCCTTCTAAACCAGACTCCGAAAAATGTTCACATCTTTTTTATGACAGATAAATCAGGATACATGCCAAATGTTAATTAACAGGTGAATGGATAAACAAATTTTAGTATATTCATACAAAAAAATACTGGTCAGCATTAAAAAACAAACTATTGATACACACAACATAGATGAAACTCAAAATTATGCTGAAAGAAGCTGGACATAAACATCTGTGATGTGTGATTCTGCTTCAATAATACTCCAGGAGAAGCAAACTAACATGCAGTGAGACAGCAGGTGAGTGGCAGCCTCGGGACAGGGAGGCACTGAAAGGGGCATGAGAAAGTGTCAGCAGAGAGAGAGATTTATTACCTTAACTGGGGTGATGATTCCTTGGGGGTACACACATGTAAAAATGTATCAAACTATACACTTTAAATATGTGCAATTTATTATAAATCAATTATACTTCAATAAAGCTGGAAAAAAAAAAAACTTGACAAATCAGACAAGTTTAAATAAAAGGAACTAAGGAACTAAAAAAAGATACAAGTAAGAAGATACCAGAACAAAAACATACTTTTTATTTATTTATTTATGTTTGGTAATCCTCACCCATGGATATTTTTCTATTGATCTTTAGAGAGTAGAAGAGTGGAAGGGAGGAGGGAGGGAAGGGAAGAGAGAGAGAGACAAAGAGAAAGAGAGAGAGAGAGAAAAACATTGGTTTGAGAGACACATTAATTGGTTGCCTCCCACATGAGCTCAACCAGGGCTGGGGATCAAACCTGCAACCCAGGTATGTGTCCTTGACCAGGAATCAAACCCAAGACCCTTTGGTCCATGGGCCAACACTCTAACCGCTGAGACCAACGAGGCAGGGCACAGGGTTTGTTATTTTTTTTAATAAAGTAATAAGTGAACACAGTAATTTTTAAATTTCTCAGTTTTAATTTCTAATAGAGCACATATTGCTAGATAAAACCCACATAAACAATAACTCTTTGGAGTCTTCAGTTTGAGAAGCACTGCTGTCAATCTATCATCCCGAGCAAGCTCCTCAGGGTTGACTGATCACCCTAAGGGAGGAATCCTGCCTCCTACACTGGTACCCTCAGTCTGCGGTCTGTAGCCTTCTGCTGGTCCACAAACCATTCCTGGCTCATAATAAGCTAAGCACAGAAATAGAGAGCAAAGTTTTAGAAACGTGTACAGCAATTTTACATTCTACTCAACCAAGCACATATGGGCTTATATTTTGTGAGTCCTTGGCTTTTTTAAATTTCATTTTTCTAGCTGTTCATTTTTATTGTATTGTACTTTACAAAAGTGTCCTTCACCACAGATACATTGAGAAACACTGAAATATAATTAAACAGCCATTGGAATAATCCTTAAATCTAAACACTGTCACTAGACACTATTTCCCCATGATTGATGACACTCCAGACAGCTCTCCTTCTGGATACAGCTTCTAATATAAATATCAAAGCATCGCCCTTAAAAGGGAAATTGGCCCTGGCCGGTTTGGCTCAGCGGTTAGAGCGTTGACCTGCGGTCTGGAGAGACCTGGGTTTGGTTCCCGCTAAGGGCACGTACTTCGGTTGCAGTTTGGTCCCCGGCGCTGGTCGGTCGTGTGGGTGGCAGCCACTCGATGTGTCCCTTTCACGTCGATGTTTCTCTCTCTCTCTCTCTCTCCCCCGACTCTATCTGTACAAAAATTGCAAAAATGTCCTCGGGTGAGGATAAAAAAAAAATAAAGGGAAATTGGTAACGATAAAGAAAACCATACGTACCCTCTTCACTGAAGAATTTTTCTATGGGTCCCACAAGCTGATTGATTTCATTAAGTTCATCTTGGCTAACTTCCGGAAACGGGAAAACATCTTTCTAGAAATGATCAACAGTAAAAATTAATTTTTAGCAACTTTCCATAGAGGTAATATCAGTCAAAAAGAAAGGAAACAGATGTGCCAGGCTCCATATCTGGTAGGCAGGACGTTGCACATGGAGGACTTGGAAAGCAAAGCAGAAGGTGCTTACGATACAGAAACTGAATGTTAGCTCCACCACCCAGACACAGCCTCCTCCCCCACTTAAGCAGGTTTCTTACTGGTTTTGATTGCTTTCCTTATAAATAACAAGTCATGATGATTTCCCCATGAAACGAAGAGCCCTGGACTAACATTTTAAAGCCCTGGGTTCCGTTCCTTGATCTGCAGCTCACTCACTGTGTGCCTTCACCAAATCTCTACCTCTTCCATTTTCTCACCCATAATATGCAGGTAATATTTACTCAAGGTAATTGTGAGAACTATGGAAGATAACTGGTGTGAACGTTCTTTACTAAAATGTAAGATTTACATTAGTATTTTGTGAGTTCACAGATGCTGTAGCTGACAGGAGCCTGTGGTGGTCACCAGTCTGACATCTTATAAGGCTCCCAATCCAGCTGCATACTCCAGCCTCCGTCCCTCCTGCTCGATGACCGCTGTTACTTGGACTGAATGCTCAAGGTAACAGGGTCACGGAGGCACAATGCTGAACCAGATCAACCTAAATTCAGCCCTGACTCTGCTGATATGTTCCTGCTCCAACCCCAGTACTTCTGTGAGAGATGGTGTTGAACTGCATCGAGGCAATGGTGGTGAAGGGGCTTAAAAGCAGTCACATTCTAAAGAGAACCTGAAAGTAGAGAAAATTAGATTTGCTGTCAGATTAGTTGTAGATTAAGAGAATAATGCCCTGGCCAGTTTGGCTCAGCGGTTAGAGCGTCAGCCTGCGGTCCGGAGAGACCCGGGTTCGGTTCCCGCTAAGGGCACGTACTTCGGTTGCAGTTTGTCCCCGGCCCTGGTTGGTCGTGCGGGTGGCAGCCACTCGATGTGTCCCTTCACGTCGATGTTTCTCTCTCTCTCTCCCTTCCTCTCTCTCCCTCCCACTCTATCTGTACAAAAAATGGAAAAATATCCTCGGGTGAGGATAAAAAAAATAAAATAAAATAAAAAAAAAGAGAATAAGAGGCATCAAAGGTGACTCCAGATATTTGGCGCGAACAAGTTGAACAACAGAGTCATCACCATCTATGACAAAGACTTAGTTTTTCATATACTGAATTTGAGATGCCTATTAGACATCCGAGTGAAGCTTCTAGTAGAAAGGCTGACATAAAAGGAGCCTGGAGTTCATAGGGGAAACACGAGCTGAGTCAATAAAGATGTGTCATCAGGACCTCGATGGTATTCAAAGCAACAATACTGAATTAGATCAACCAAGGTAGGGGTGTAGTTGAAGAGACCTACAGACTGAGTCTCAGAGAACTCAGCTCTGGCAGCCGCCATTACTGGAAGGAGAACAAAGCCACAAACGCACAGAGCCCAGTGGAGGCACTGGGACACTCACTCGGGCAGGACAACACAGCTGTCAGCATCTAGTTGTCGGAGGAGTGCTGGGTTCTCGAGGGCAGCAACCCCATCGCCCACAATATTCCCACACGTGAATGGTGCCCTGAGCCTGAGGCAACCTGAGTACAGAGGGACATCGCCAGGAAACACAGGGTACTTCCCAAGGCCCAGCCAACACCGCCCTACAGAGACATACAAGGAAGAGGAAATAAAAACTTGTGCTTTGGTGCCACCTACTGTAAGAGGAAAGAAAGACTTCTTACCAACCTACTGAACAGACAAGTGTCAAACACTTTACAAAGCAGATTTCATTCCCATAGATCTCTAAACAGAGAAATGACTTATCAAATACCATGCAAAACCAAGGTAACGACGTAGCTTTAAAGGAAAATGAAAAATTTCCAGAATATATAGACTTAAAGACATGGAAATATATGATTTAAATGGCAGAGAATTCAAAAAAACCTCAACCAGATACATGAAAGCTCAGAAAGGCAGTTTAATGAACTCGGAAACAAAATCAACCAAAAAGGGACTACTTTACCAAAAAGACTGAAACTGCAGAAAAGAATCAAACAGAAATTCTGAAGCTGAAGAACTCAATACGAGATGAAGACTGGACCAGGAAGCCTGGGAAGTGAAGCTGACCGGGCAGAGAAAAGAACTGGTATCAAGACAAACATGGAGATGACACTGGTGAAAGAGGAGCAGATCTGATGGTGAGCACAGAGATGAAAGAGCTCCGTCAGAAAGAACGATGTAAGAACAATGGGTACACCAGAGGGAGAAGAAAAGAAGAAGGGAACAGAGGTCTCTCTACCAATGACCTCATGGTATGACTCCAGGCTGTCCTTCCCATGCGCAGCCAAGCCCAGGAGGGCCAGCCAAACTCTGATCGTCTGTAGCTTCAAACATGTTGCCAAGGGCCAGGCACAGATCGCATCCGACATTGGCCTGCACCACAGTCCCTACCAAGGGGCCCAGAACAAACACAAGTGGCCAGATTCAGACACTGGAGCACAACCCAACAAATCTTCACAAACAGCTGTCCCAGGGGAAGTCACAGCAGCACCCGCACAGCAGCTCACACACCATGGTCACGGCTGAGCCTCACAGTCAGCCAGCCTGAGGACCGACCCCACGCACAAATGGGCCAATAAGAATCAAGACTCAATTACAACTGGAGGGTCCACAAAACCATACAAAGGACATTCCTAGAACACCCAGCTCAGGAGATCAAGGAGACTGCACCACAGGGTCCCATAGGACACCTACTGCATAAGGCCACCCCACACAGACTGGGAATCATAGCAGATCTATCTAATGCACAGAAATAAACACAAAGAGGCAGCAAAAATGGGAAGATGGCCCTGGCCAGTTTGGCTCAGCGGTTAGAGCGCCGGCCTGTGGTCCAGAGAGACCTGGGTTCGGTTCCTACTAAGGGCACGTGCCTCGGTTGCAGTTTGTCCCCGGCCCTGGTTGGGTCGTGTGGGTGGCAGCCACTCTATGTGTCCCTTTCACATCCATGTTTCTCTCTCTCTCTCTCTCTTCCTCTCTCTCCCTCCCTCCCACTCTATCTGAACAAAAAATGGAAAAATGTCCTCAGGTGAGGATAAAAAAAAAAAAAAAGGGGAGATGAAGAGAGAGGCCCCAAATAAAAAGAAAAAGGAGAAATCTCCAGAAAGAGCTAAATGAAATGGAGGCAAGCAACTTATCAGATATAGAGTTCAAAATAATGGTTATAAGGATGCTCAAGGAATTTACAGAACTACAACAGCATGAAAAAGGACATACAAACCATGAAAAACATTAGTCGGAAAAAAAAAATACCATATCTAACATCAAGAATACATTGAACCCTGGCCAGTTTGGCTCAGTGGTTGAGCATCGGCCTGCAGACCAGAGAGTCCCGGGTTCGGTTCCCACTAGGGGCACATACCACAAAAAAAAAAAGAATACACTGCAAGGAATAAAAGGTAGGTTGAATAAAGCAGATAATCAAATCAGCAATTTGGAAGGCAAAGTTGAAAAAAAACAAAAACCCAATCAGAGCAGGAAAAAGAAAAATTTTAAAAACTAAGGATAATTTAAGGAAATTTTGGGACAACATGAAGTGCATCATAGGGGTATCAAAAGGAGAAGAAAGAGAGCAAGGGACCAAGAACCTGTTTGAAAAAGTAATGGCAGCCCAGCCAGTGTGGCTCAGTGGTTGAGCATCGACCCATGCACCAAAGGCACATGTCCAGGTTGTGGGCCCGATCCTCAGTGGAGGGCATGCAAGAGGCAGCCAATCCATGTTTCTGTCCCTCTCTCCCTCTCCCTCTCCCTCCTTCTCTCTCTAAAGTCAATAAAGAAAAAAAAATTAATTTATAAAAAAAAAGATCTCGTTTTTGATAAAATTTTAAAAATGGACAAATCTCGGGTTAGACTAAGGAAAAAAGACAAAAGACTTAAACAAAATCATAAATGAATGAAAAGTCTCTACAGACACCACAGAAATATAAAGAATTATACAAGAATACTATGAGAGACTACATGCCAACAAATTCAATATCATAGAAGAAATGAACAAGTTCTTAGACATACAGAACCGTCCTAGAATGAATCACAAGTAAATGGGAATTCTCAATAGACTGATCAACAGTGAGGAAATTGAACAACCATCAAAAACCTCCCAAAAAGTAAAAGTCCACGAGCAGATGGCTTCAGTAGTGAATTCTACCACACATTCAAAGATTTAATATCTGTCCTTCTCAAACGCTTACAAAAACTGAATAAAATTACCATATGACCCAGAAATCCCTCTCCTGGGTATCTACCTGGAAATTTTGAAAATGCTTATTTGTAAAGATATATGCACCCCATGTTCATTGCACCATTGTTCACGTTAGCCAAGACATGGAAACTACCTAGGTGTCCTTCCATAGATGACTGGATAAAGATGCGGTACATAGATACATCGAAATACTACTCAGCCATAAGGAAAAATGAAATACTGCCCTTTGCAACAACATGAATGAACCTCGAAAATATCATGCTAAGCAAAGTCATATAAAACAAGAATGATGATTTAATGCATATGTGAGCTATAAAACTGAAAGCAACAAATGAACCAACAAAAAAAACTCATGGATACTGACAACAGTATGTTGGTTATCAGAAAGGGGTTGGGGGGAAGGAGAAGAGTGTAAAGGGGGTCAGATATATAGTGACGGAATGACACTAGACTTTGGGTGGTGAACACACAGTGCAATATCCAGAACTGTACACTTGAAACATATAATCTTATTAACCAAAGTCACCCCAATAAATTTAATAAAATTTAATAAAATACACTTCAGCTCCAGTTGGGCTAATTGAAAACACTGGCTAATATCACTGAAGTAGACAAAAAAACTGGGAGAGGTTGGTGTTTTATTTTATTTTATTTTATTTTTTTCTTTATTGCTCTTTAGAGAGAGAGGGAGAGGGAGAGATAGAAACATCAATTGGCTGCCTCCTGCACGCCCCCCACTGGGGATTTGACCCACAACCTGGGCATGTGCCCTGACCAGGAATCAAACCGGTGACCTCTTGGTGCAGGGGTCGATGCCCAACCACTGAGCCACACACTGAGCAGGTTGGTGTTTTAGAAGCCAGAAGTGACGAACTGTGTCAGATGCTAGTGACAGGTCAACTAAGATAAGGACTGAGAACAGACCTTTAAATTTGACCACACAAAGGTCACTACTGACTGTCTTGAGAGCAGTCTAGGAGACTGTTAAAGACAAAAGCCTGAATGGTATGAGTTCAAGATGTACCAGAGAGGGAACAATTGATGCTGTGGATGAGAAAGGAGAGAGTTACTGGATCATTGCCTGTGAGTAGGAGAGAAGGCATGGATGGGGTCTAGTGATCTGGTTGGCCTTTGATAATAGACAGTTCATAGTAAGAGAACGTAGACCATAGGTGCAGGAAAGGGGGAGTAAAAGTGGTGCTGAAAGTTGTCATCTGATTGCATGTAATTTCTCAGTGAACCCGGAAGCAAAGCCTAGCCGGTGTGGCTTAGTGTTTGAGCATTGACCCACCACCAAGAGGTCACCGGTTTGGTTCGAATCCCGGTCAGGGCACATGCCCAGGTTGTGGGCCAAATCCCCAGTGGGGGGCATGCAGGAGGCGGCCAATTGATGTTCTCTATCATAGGTTTCTATCTCTCTCTCTCTCTCCCTTCCTCTCTCTCTGAAATCAATAATGAAAAAGAAAAATAGGAAGCAAAGAAGGCAGCTGAGAGTGAAAAGGGTGGAGGGGCCTGGGGCGCGCGGGAGGGGGGGGTGTCCAAAGCGTTGGAGAAAGAGAAGCATATAAGACTTGTGTTCTTTCTTCAGGATAGAACAGCACACAGCCTTGGGTTGAGGGGGAAATGGTGTCCTAAACGTTAAAGACCTAGCTTTGAAGCCCCTAGCAGGGCAAACCACTCTTAGTCTGGGCCTCTGTTTCTGCATCTGTAACGCCTGACAACCTTAGAGAAACCGGCAAATAACTCCTGAAGTGATACAGAATCCGCCTACAAGTCAGCTCAAAGCGCTGTACACAAAATGTTTCTGCAGTTCGCGGGCACCTTTACGAGGGGAGAGCACCGTTTTCACCCCTCTTTTGTAGATTCGCACACTGGGCACAGGGAGGTGAAGTGACTAGCCCAAGGCCAGCACTAACGACCCATTCCGATGTCCTGGCACCTGCCCAGGACCTCGCCGTTCAAAACGCATTTCCATGCACCACGCATCTCACTGGGGCTTCGCAACAGGCCCACATCACCAGCTCCATCTTAACCTAAAAGAACCGCGGCTCAATCAGAGCAGAGACCAAATCCACGACTCCCTACAAAAGAGGGTGCTGCATGCCCAACCACCCAGCGGCCACTGCCGGGCAGAGCGGGGCTCGTGCGAGCCGGAGCCGGTGGGGAAGGAACCTGGAGACAGAGCGAGGTCCGGGGGAGCCGCCGCGGACGCCCCGGGCCGCGAGAAGCTGACGCCCGAGTGGCATGCGGGGTTCGGGCAGAAAGCCCGGCAGGTGCGAGGGCCGGAAGGCTGGGCTGGGCGTTGCATCGCCGGCCGTTTCCAAAAGCGACCTGACAGGAGTCGGCGGGAACCCTGTCAACGCCCCCCTCGCAGGGCCCGGGCCTGGAGCCTTCCTCTCCCTGGACGAGGTACACGACCTGGTGGGACGGGAACCGGGACGCTGGCCCGCCCGACCACGGTGTACCCGGCCGGCAGGTATGAGGGCGCAGCGGGCGGACCCCGCTCCTGCCCGGTGCGGCACAGCGCGGGCGGGCCGGGCTCGTTACCTTCTCCAGTCTGCCCAGGAAGAGCTCCTTGGCGAAGGCTGCGGCGCGCACACTGGTGCGCAGCGAGCGCCGGCTCCCGCTGAAGTCCAACAGCACCCGGCTCGCCAGCGCCGCCGCTCCCGCCCGCCAGAGTCCGCAGCCCGCCATGCTCCCCCCACACTGCCCCGCGCCGCCCGCTCCCGGGCTCTTGAGCACGTCCGCGCCCCCGGATGACGCCACTGCTCTGCGCCGCCCGCGCCCCCGATGACGCCACCGCTCTGCGCCGCCCGCGCCCCCGATGACGCCACTGCTCTGCGCCGCCCGCTGGCAGCCAGGGCGCCTGCGAGGGGAGGGGCGCGGGAGGGGGAGGGAAGGGAGGGGGAGGGGCGCGGGAGGGGGAGGGGCGCGGGAGGGGGAGGGAGGGGAGGGGGAGGGAAGGGAGGGGGAGGGAAGGGAGGGGGAGGGAAGGGAGGAGGAGGGGCGGGGGAGGGGCGCGGGAGGGGGAGGGGCGCGGGAGGGGAGGGGGAGGGAAGGGAGGGGGAGGGAAGGGAGGAGGAAGAGGGGAGGGCAGGGGTGAGAGGGACGGGAGGGGACCAATCGGTAGAGACCGTGAACCTAAAAGAACCCACCTGGGAAGCTGATGAATATTCTATTGAGATCCTGGCCTGAGACCTCCCTAAAGCTCCTGCCTTTAAAGAACAGACGGAACCTCTTCAGATGAAAGACCAGCCTGAGCACCCTCTTCGCTCTCCCAAGCCTGCCTGTGCCTTTCTCCGCCCCTTCATTTCCTCGGGGTGCTTTCTCTGCGCCCTGTGCCTCTCCCCCTTCTTCCAGGTGCATTTCTTTGCTGCTCTCTCCTGAGCTCCAAGGGCCCTTCTTTGGCCTCTATAACGTGTTTCCTGAGTCCACACAGCCCAGCTGACTCACTTCTTCTACCTCTGTGACTTTCTAAATAAACCTCCACTTAGATTTGAGTTCTTGGCTCTGAATTCTTTCCTAGCTGAACTCAAGGACCAAGGTCTAACCCCACTGGTAACATCTGGCACCATTCGCTGTTAACAAAACTGCAACGTAAAAATAAATGGTAAATGTGTATTTTTAAAAGTTTAAGTTTTAAAAATGTATATTTTTAAAAGATTTTCAGTTTAGACTTGGTCCTTATGATGACAGTCTTTCAAAACCTCTGGACAGCTAAAATATTAATAATGACAAGAAAAAATACCTTTTATTTTATTTTCCTTTATATTTCAAAAGCCAAAACAGCTTAAGATCCAAGTTCTGGAGCACGTAGACGTCACTATTCCGCTATGAAGCGCGTGTAAGATAACACAGGTGCTGCATCAAAACCTCCAGAAGTCCCAAAGCAACTAACTGCTTCACGTAAGATCACATGGCCCACTGGGGTCTTCCTGATCTGTTTGCACAGGAGCCAGTAGAGCTCAACATCTTATTCAGAGATGGGCAGGCGGCAGGGCAGCACGGGCAACATGGGCAACCCTCACCGCGTGGGAACTGCACATGAAGAGGATGCTATGCTGGTGAAAGTTAAGGGGTGCACTGTGGGCCATTGCTCTTCGAGTGGAATAATAACTATGAGGACAGGTACTTGGGGGAGCACAGGTCACCGCCCTGATGCCTGCAGCAGTGCAACCCTCACACAGAAAGATCCGCTGGGTCGCCGTCAGGGAGCGCTGCGATCCACCCCTTCCTAGAAACCCTTGCTCGGTGCTCAACATGTCTTTGAAACTATTTTTGTAATTCTCCAAGCCAGTGACTGTGGGACTTCAAACTAGATAATGAAGTGCAATGTGGGAAAATTCATTTCAATGGTTCACCAACTGAGTGGGGAAGGTTCAAGGCCTCCTAGTCAGTCCCTGAAAAGGGAAAAAAAGAGTCATTAGTCTCTAGTTGAAGGCATGACATTATGCTGAAAACAGGCAAATGAAGCAATTGTATATTAAATATTTTTTAAATTTCTTTTTCTTTATTGATTTTTAGAGAGAGGAAGGGAGAGGGAGAGAGACAGAAACATCAATGAGAGAGACACATCAATTGCCTGCCACCCACATGACCCCAATCAGGGATGGGGACAAACTGCAACCAAGGTACCTGCCCTTGACCAGAACCGAACCCGGGACTCATTGGTCCAAGGGCTGAAGCTCTAACCACTGAGCAAAACAGGCCAGGGCTGGGTTCCCATTTTATTAAATAATTACCATAATAATTACTATAATCACCTATTTTACAGTTCAAATTGTCCTATATTTGTGCAATAGGAGTCCTTTCAAACTAGCTTCTGTGTCCTTTTGGCATATCACCGTGGGGAAGCCAGCCGCCACCTGGCAGCAGCGCTACGCAGAGGACCACATCATAAAGAGCTGAGTACCGTGGACAACAGCCCCTGGGTGAGCCTCAAGATTATCATGGCCCCGCTGACACTGTGCACCCTCGTGAGAAACCCTGGGCCAGAAGCACCGGCTCAGCTGCTCCTACATCCCAGACCCACACAAACTAGTGGAGAAGACACAGTTCTTGTTTAAAGCAGCTAAGTTTGGGGGTAACTTGTGATGCAACAACAAAAAAATGAATGCACCCCAATATCACCACTTTCAGTCCATCATGATGGGATTCGTTCTAGATTTCTCTCTCTCCATATGTGCAACTCCCCCTCTGACCATGAGAAGCATGGCTACCATTATCCTCAACACACTTGCTGGTCAGTCTCCCTCTGCATAACCGATTCCACTGCTGTGCCATCATCCTCCCCTGTGTTTCATCCTCCCCCTTTCAACACCCCTCGTAAGTTGCTGTTGGGAAAATCAGACACCAACTTACACCACACACAAGAATACACTCAAAATGGATAAAAGACTTAAATGTGACTCGTGATTCCATAAAAATCCTAGAAGAAAGCGTAGGCAACAAAATTTCAGACATCATATGCTGCGGAATTTTCACTGATACATCACCTAAGGCAACAGGAACAAAGGGGAAAATGGACACATGGGACTACATCAAACTAAAAAGCTTCTGCACAGCAAAAGATACAATCATCAAAATGGAAAGGCAACCCAGTATATGGGAGACCATAATTGCCAATGATACATCAAATAACGGGTTAATTTCCAATATATATAGAGTACACATACAGCTCAACAAAAGGAAGACAAAGAACCCAATTAAAAAATGGGCAGAGGACCTAAATAGACACCTCTCCAAACAGGACATACAAATGGCCAAGAGACATGTGAGGAAATGCTCGACATCACTAATCATCAGAGAGATGCAAATTAAAACAATGAGGTATCACCTCACACCTGTCAGAATGGCCACCATCAACAAATCATCAAACAACAAGTGCTGGCGAGGGTGTGGAGAAAAGGGGACTCTAGTACACTGCTGGTGGGAATGCAGACTGGTGCAGCCACTATGGAAAACAATATGGTGTTTCCTCAAAACATTAAAAATTGAACTGCCATTTGACCCAGTGACCCCACTTCTAGGAATATACCCTAAGAAGCCTGAAACACCATCAGAAAGAATATATGTACCCCTATGTTCATAGCAGCACTATTTACAATAGCTAAGATCTGGAAACAACCCAAGTGTCCATCAGTAGATGAGTGGATAAAAAAGCTGTGGTACATATACACAATGGAGTACTATGCAGCTGTAAGAAAGAAAGATCTCTTACCCTTTGCGACGACATAGAGGGACCTAGAAAGTATTATCCTAAGCAAAACTAGCCAGAGAAAGACAAATATCACATGATCTCACTCATTTCTGGAATATAATGAACTAAACAAACTGATGAACAAAATAAACCCAGAGACAAGTACAGACTGACATTCTTCAGAAGAGGGGGTTGGAGGGAAGGGATAAACCACAGAACTGATATGCATGTACGCATAACTGATGGACATAGACAACAAAGCTGGGGATGAGGTGGGAGGGGACAGAGGAGGAAGTCAATGAGGGGAAAAAGGATAAATATCTGTAACATAAATAAATAAATAAATAAATAAATAAATAAATAGTAAAAAAAAATAAAAATGTCAAAGCACATTTAATTTAATGTCAATACTGCAATACAAAAGGCCCAAATACAGTGAGGAAATACATTCCCCCATGAAAGGGTTAGTAATGTTTTAACACATTAAACTCCATTCTGACCAGTTATCCCCACACGTAAACACCCGAGCAGTTTTCTAAAACCCTGGAACTGACACCCAGAGGAACCATGAAGACAAGGGGTTAATGGTGGCCTTGGGAAACTTGGAGGGACCATGAAAAAGGGATTAATGCCTGCCCTCATCTCTGTAACAAGCTCATCTCATCCCTGCAACAGATTCTTCCCTCACCTCTGTGGCAGTTCATATCAACCCCGACACCAATTAAGCAGTGCCAAGAGAATGTGGGTTTTTTTTAATGTAGTGTTTTTGTTTCTGTAGTTTGGGCCTATAAAAGTGAGAGAACAAAGATTTCCAGGCTGGGCTCCTTTTTATGGACTCGGCCCGCCTGCAGCCAGGCGCGTGCAATAGTCAGTCAGGGAATCTCATCAAGGCCAGTCTTCTTTTGCAGTGTAGTTGTGAAATGATGTTTATAATGCTTCAAACAGTGTAGACCTAAATGTGATCTCAGTGTGACCCCACACCTTCAAGTGTGTGCAGTCCTCGGTAAGGTGAGCTACAGTACTGGCAACCAAAGAGCAAGCCATTGATTAAAGCCACATTGATTTAAGGCTCAGTCAAGTAACAGAGAGCTCCAAACTAAATGATTAAATATATGAACTACTGGTACTGATATCTATTATTTGATTCTCTCATAACTATTACATTGTTTCTTAGCAAATGAACCCTTTAAATGTAAAATTCACTTCATTTGAGTTTTGACCAAGAAGTTCAACAAGAATCATGGCGTCCACGGTCTTACTGGCAAAACAGTGTCTCTAAGCCACTACGCTCCAGGTTAAGAGAGATGCTCCCATTCCAAGTTCCAGGACCATCCCTCCGAGTCAATGCCCCTTCACACGAGGATCTTGGTGAGACTCGAACTCAACTGTGCAGTCAACCCAGCCACCTACCTACCTTCTGTTCTTGCTTCTCAGCAGCATCAGCCCTGTGACCACAAGACATAAGAAGCTTTCTGAAGACTGTCAGACTCGGAGCTGAGAGTGAAAGGACCCAAGCTGGTCATTTCTCTCTGTCTACACCTGAGCGCTGCACTCGGGGCAGTGTCCCTCACCCAGCTCATCCCGGCCATAGCTCTCTGGGCAGCAGTTTCGGGTTCCAGGGCGTCTCTGTCCGCCGGCACTTCATGACCACCTGTCCCAGATGACGGCTTCAGCCGCGACGCCACGGCTGCTGGGGCTGCCAGAGCCCAGGTCCCACAGCCAGGAGCTCAGCGCTGCCCTGGAGCCCAGGTCCCACAGCCAGGAGCTCAGCGCCGCCCTCGAGCCCAGGGCCCGCAGCCAGTTCCTGAATCCCTTCCTGGTGGAACTGGCCCCGGGACCACTCAGGGCACCGGTTCTGTGTCTGTCAGAGTTCAGGGGACAGGAGCCGACAGTGATCTGAGCCCAGAGTAAGGTTTAATAGCAAAAAATACTTTAAACTGTTCAGAGGGGTTCATCACTAAAAAGGCATAGAAAGAGCACTCTCAAAAAATACACACAGGGAGAAAGAATTATTTGAGGGAGAACCGACTGGGGGTAAACGTAGGCCTTTCCCAAGACCGTGCTCTCCCCTCACTGGGGAGAGGCTGGCTGCAGCCCGCTGGCTGCCATGGACAGAGCTGCCCCAAGGGCCCAGCAAAGCTGGCAGCCAGGGAACCGGGGGAGGGTGGCGGCCTTCAGAAAGTCTCCCCCCAGAACTTGGCAGGCAGCACACCTTGGGCCGGACTGGCGGGCAGGAAACCCTCACCAAGGTGCAGGGGCCGAGGTCTGCACGCAGGGAGGGAAGCCTCTCCAGGAGCTTGCAGGCTGAGACACCGGCAGGAAACAGCACCTCCTGCAGGCCGGCCGGATCCCTGTGCAGCTGCTGCTGCTGCAGCCGAGCCAGGACCCTGGGAAAGGGGCTGTGGCACCCGGGAGTGCCTGGGGGCCTCCAGCCTTCCAGTCGGCTGTCCCAGCCTCTCCTGATCCCCCGTGATGGAGCGCTAAGGGACCACGGGGCTTTTCCCACCCTCCTTCCTCATCAGCTCTCACAACCCGATGCTCCCAGCAGCCCTGCCTCAAGGTCCTAAAACAGTTCAAACAGTGGGGGTGTCTAATACACCTGGGCCGGTTCCTGCCTCTGAACCTATGCCTTTTTGCTTAGTTCCATTAAGAGATACACACCCTTTTCTTCTTAGTTCTTCTGCCCTTGTATGTTTACTAGGCCAAGGCTTCCTAGACAAGTATCATGCTGGGATTTGTTTCTCGGGAAAGGGGGAAATAATCGTGGAATTGGACAGTAGCTATCACAATAGACAAGCTCCTTAGGATGGCGTAACACTGATGCTCACCTCCTGAGCCCTCATGATGACCTGCAGGAGACGCTCCGGGTAATGCTGATTTCTCATGGTTTGCAGATGATCCATATTTAAAATTGTTTTCTTTATTGATTTTAGAGAGAGAGGAAGGGAGAGGGAGAGAGAGAGAGAAACATCGATGAGAGAGAACATCCACTGGCCGCCTCCTGCATGCCCCCACTGGGGATCGTGCCCACAAGCTGGGCACATGCAGGGTTGACGCTCCACCCCTGAGTTGCACCGGCGGCCAGGTGGCTCCTGTTTAAGGCTGAGTGCTGAGCTCCGTGCTGGATGAGGTGCCCTGAGCCCCGGAGGCAGCTGGTCGACCGCTGGCTCCTGCAGCACTGCAGACGAACTGTGTGTTCTCACTTGCATTTCGGCCAAGGGCAAAGCTGCCAACATTTGCCCTGGCAGTGGGCTTGTCTTCAGAGTAGCTGTGACTGTGGAATGTTCTGGGAGCAGCAGAAGTACCATTTAAACTGCCCCCAGTTCAGGAATACTGGCTGCCATTCTCCCCCTGCTGCCCCAGCAGGCATTCAGACCCCAGGGCACCTAAACGTGGCTCTGGAAGCTGCGGGAGGCCCTCTGCAGGCCCCCTCCAGGAATGCTGCCCTTCCAGGGACAGCAGCAGCCACACTTCTGTCATGGCCCAAAGAGGTGTGTCTCTAACTGATAACTTGGAAAAACTGGCCAGAGAAGTCCAACAGTGGGCCTTAGAGAAGAAAACACAAGATTGGAAACCCAACAATTGTTGGTTTGATACAAAGACAGAGCTTTGGTTTGAGCCAAAGAGCAATCCAGTCCTGGAGACTCTAAATCCCCACTCCTAACGACTGCGCACATGTGAAACCACGGTCCCCTGGCAGCATCGGTGCGGAGTGTCAACAGGCCACAGCGAGCAGCTGTCTCGGGCCCAGGCAGCCTGTCCACACTGAAGTACCTGACGCACCCTCGGTGGGGTGGCAGAGAGCACACAGCGCCCTCCCCTCAGGGGACACGCATGTCCGTCAAGGGCTGCACATCTTCCCAGTGGGCTGCAGCTTCCCCGTGCAAACAGGCTGCTACCTCTTCTGTGGCTACAGTCCTGTTAGAAGAGACTCCCTGCCTGGGAGACTCCTCCATGGCGGTTGGGAACCCATGTTACTGGTCGCATGCTTTGCAAGTCCGTGCTGTTTGCTGGTTTTAAAACACCTTCGCTGCATGTATCACCCTCAGTCCTCAGGTTTAGTTAGACACACTAACAGCATTATTAAGACTCGACTGGCCAAATGTGCTGACACCCTCCAGCTGCCTTGCTGGAAGGAGATAATGACAGAGGCCCCAGCAGACAGAGAGACGCCTCATCGTGTGCGGGCTGCTTGCTGTCCCAGTGGGCAGCCTGTTCGCTGTGC